CAACAACAGGGCGACCCTGTGGCCAACTCCAATATGGTTGTCTCATTTCCTCTTCACTTGGACATAGCGCCCGCAACTGAACTGACTGTTTCAGAAAACAGACAAGAGTCATATGCAATCATTCTACTTCATAATTTCATTGAATCTTATAAATAGTTCCAAGGGCTGCAAACCAAACCTCTTTGCTCTGGAAAAAATAATTGTTCAACTTTCTCATCTCGGGAACAGACGTAGTAGTTCTCCATCGCAAAATACGCGGGAGAGCTGTCGGATCAACAACCTTGCAGTAATTCAGGTCCACCATTCTAGGAATTAATTCATATACCCAAATCTACACAATTCACAGGACACAAGTTATTATTTAAGTTTTAAAGTCAACAGAACATAACGACATGAACATTATTACCATGTACCTGGAAAGCATACGTGAAACCTTTAAAACTCCAGCCACCCCTTTGCACTTCACCATGGTTATCCTTCTTGCCCTTCTCATTTCTCCGGCTTGTTCCGGTTACCTTACATTTCCCCTTCCCTCTTCCCTCTTCATTTTCAAAGCTTTTCACATACTTTGTTGGTGCAGAAAACAGACTGTCTTGGGTTTTGTCAAACGACACCGAACCCCATGGAAACCTGTTGAACGCATCCAAGTCCTCTACAAGGGTCAGGTAATTTAGATTGATGTTCAAATGTTTGTCCCTTCCCAAAACCACTAACTCAGCAAAGTAAACAAGAGCTAGCTTGTAGACGTCATCTTCCTCTGTGCACCTCACAAATGCTTCTTCTAAAGCATTACATGTAATTCCTTCGTCTATAAAATATCTTTTCTGAAGTCTAATTTCATCACTTTCTCCACTGGAAACTTCAGGCACTTCCCCAAAACGAAGCCCTGAGATCAAACAGAAATCCTGACGAGTGAACTGAGCAACGTCGCACCCTATTAAGAAACTCAGTCCATCCAAGTCTTTCACACCCTGCCCCGCTACTCTACGCAACACAACCCCATGCACAATCTGCCCGCTAAACTGAATCTTATCTATATTCAGAAGATGGCCAAAGCATGATGTCTTGAATTGTTCTAATTGTTCGGCACTCAACTTCGCTCGAATTACAGCTAGGGATGAATTTGCATGTGAGCAGTTGTTCACCCGTGAGGAATATGCCTCTGACTCTGGCCATACCAGCTCAACGTTGGATCCCATTTCCTGAAATACAAGATGAAATAACGTGAACACATATACTACCACGTATTTGCACAATCACATTGGTATTTACACAACTAGTCAACCAGCACATTACAAATTTTACAAAGTACATGCGCATAGGGATTACTGATCACAGGCTTTAACATCATCAAAGCAATATGACATATTTTGTGCAAATACCTGTTAATGCAATGATTCTGTGAATTACAAGCACTAGCATGTGTTTTATTTATGGATCCAAACTCCAATCAATGGTTGATGCATGAGTGAGTGTGAGTGCAATCTAGGCAAGTTCTGCACTTCACACACATGACAATTATTGTCATTTCATACACAACACAAAATAAATAAATAAATAAATGAGAAAGATGGTGGAAGGAAGCAAAGCAAAGCATCTGCTCTGCTATCTGCTCGCTAAGCCATTGCCACATCCTTCTTTCTTTCTAGCTTTTTCTTCAGTCAGCCATAATCGTCATAGATCAACCTTTTTTCAAATGCTTTGCACTTTTATTCATGAGTTTATTATTATCTGTTCTCATTTTTAACAGGCAAATTTAGTAACAACGGAAATAATATTTATTTCAAAAATTATATATATTCTAGCTCCAGAGAGATAATCTGCACTCTGCACTGCTTCAAATGTGGAAGGTTTTGAGGGCCTCCTCCAATTCAACACCATTACCTTATTCATATCATTATTGACATGTTATTGACATGTTATTGACTTTATATTCATTCGTTTTTTAACATATACCCAAGCAAAAATTAACATGCAAGTGAAGCACAAAGAAGAGATGCCAAATCTAACAACATTCATGCTACAAATTGGGGAAAACGGTTACTCTAACCCTAAACTCAAATTCCATAAATTACTCACCAAATGCTGGTTATTGAACAATCGCAAGGTGTCTGTGTTGGGTCTTTGTGCGGCTTTGCTCCACAAATGGAACCTATCACTTCCAACGAATACGGCTTCTCTCCTTCCCCTTCCACTGCTTCGTCTTCACTGTTTCAGAATCCACGCCTTTGCTCCTTCCACTCAAAATAAATACTTTTTCACGGTTTAGATAGTGGAGTTGCGTTCAACCGTCGTTAACCTTTGCCTTCAACCGTCGTTGCCCGTTGCCTTCAACCGTCGTTGCCCGTTGCCTTCAACCGTTTCTCAGAGCTTAGCGGTTTCTCTCAGCTATGAGTTTGAGATCAATGGGTTTTTTCTGTTCAAACTTCGAACTTGCCTCTCTTTTTTTTTGTTGGGACCAACTTCATTGCTGGATATTAAATTCGGGTTTGGGTTCCTCACCTACCCGATTGCACAACTTTATCCCAATTCTCCCCAGCCCTTCGATTGATCCAATGACTATAAAGTGAACCCCTTATAACTTACCCCTTATAACTTACCCCTCATTATAGTCTGGCCGCTTGTTGAACGTCTAGTTGGAGCTCATGTTGAACTAATTTCAAAAGAAGAGTATGCAATATTCGGCAGTGGGGTGTGTTAGTTTTGCTTTTCCTTTGAATTAACCATGTATTTTTTAATGTTTATGAAGTAATATTTAATTAAACACACATTTTCTTATAGCTTATTGAATGTTCCTCCTTTAGTCTTTTTAGCAATGTTACTGTCTCTGGTTGAAGTCTGAAGTTGAAACACCGATCTCTGGCTAAGTAATTCTTTTTAAGACGCAGTTTTTATAAACTGCATATCAAGTGATATTTTTGGTTTAAATGGACAGTGTCTCAACAGATAGGGGGAAAAAACCATACAGCCAACTATCTTACTGTTCTACCGACGTGCATTTTTTTTGGGTCGAGAACATGCATTTCTGATACTAATGAATTTATAGATTACCTTTGCTAAATCTCTAGTGATTTGGGTTCTTATATTCAATTTGGTCTCAGGCTCTTACTAATCTCTTAAAGGAAAGACTGCTAAAAGAAGGAAGAAGGCCGTATGTTATTCCTGTTGGTGGATCAAACTCCCTAGGAACCTGATGAGATTGGGTTTGCCTTTCTATTGAAATGTGCATAAACTCTGTTTAATAATAATTTGTTTGTGTACACAGTACACTTTAACTGCTGTATTTTTTCCCTCTATCTCCTTTCTATCTGTCACATATTTTTTTAAGTATTCATTTTGGGTTCCTAGAATTTGATGCAATTTCTTTGCTTCACAGTGGAAATGAGAAGTATTTCCTATTTTCCAACCCGACGTTTTCTAGTTTTCTTGACTTTTTAAAGCTCTAATATGTATTGGAAATATGGTATCTAGTACTAGAGTCGGCCCATAGCATGTGCGGGCTATACGACCGCACATGGCCCCCAAAATTTAGGGGCTTCCAAATGTTTTTAAAAGCCCAGCATTATATCATATATTTTCTACTACTTTTCGTTCTAAGCAAATTTTTATTCTAAAATATTATTTTCTATTCCTAATGGGCAGATTTTTGTTCCAAGCATTAATAAATTTATTAAAAAAACTAGTGAGTCGTGCGTGCGGCGTCTCTCCTTGCCATTCCCAAATCGCTTTTCTTTCATTTGGCCCCAAATTCACTTCTTCCCAACTTCTTCTTGACTCTTCCGTCCAAAAGCAAATTCTTCTTTACTCTTTGGCAAGGCAAAAGGTGTGCTATGCATCTCTACTCTCCACCACACCTCTCTCTCTCTCTCTCTCTCTCTCATATTAGAATTTAGAAATAGCCATCATATGCATCTTTGCTTCATTTTGCTGGATGTAGTTTTTTTGTATGTAAAAGAAAATTGAGTGGATGTGAGTATGTGAAAATAGACCAAGGATGATCTTGATTCTATTTGTGGGTTCTAATGTAATTGATGCCACATAATGATTTTGGTTTAATTTATGATTTATGAATTTTAAAAAATTTGAAAAATTGTTATTTTACTTATACATATAGGGCCTCATCAGCTTTCTTCGCATAGGGCCTCCATATCTAATGGATTGGCTTTGTCTGGTACCTGTTCTTCACTTTAATCCATCATAACTCGTGTCATATGGTATAAACCTAATGGTTGGGGTCTTCAAAATGAGAAGGGAGAAGAGAGAGGTGAGGCTTGTGAGGTTTCAGTTTCCTGTTCAAAGTTGATTATGACGGCTTCCATTTCTTTTTTGTGCTGATTTCCCTATGCATATTGGGCATTGCATTTTCAGGCACGTTGCTGACTTCTCAAGTTTCAACTATGGACATTTAGCCCCATGCGAAATATCCAGGTACAGACAGCCAATCCCATGCTCAAGTGGACCCTTTCACTTCATTTTGGATTTTTGCACCTCTGCCAATCCCGCATTGTTTCAACAGTTTTGAACTTTTCTCACTCCACCGATCCCGCATTACTTCAACAGTTTTGAACTTTTCTCACTCCAGCCGATCCCAGATGGGCCCCATGGAAATTTCTCTTCTTTTTCCTTTGCGCTTCAGCCGATCCAGTGGGCCTCATGCTCTTTGCTTGCTCTTTGCTAATCGATCCCAAATGGACCCCACTTGGGGTGTGCTTGGTTTTAGGCTTTAGCCGGTCCGGTAGGCCCCATGCTCTTTGCTAACTGATCCCAGATGGACCCCAACTGGGGTGTGCTTGGTTTTAAGCTTCATCCGACCCGGTGGGCCCCATGCTCTTTGCTAACCAATCCTAGATGGAACCCAGCTGGGGTGCACTTGGTTTTAAGCTTCAGCTGATCCAGTGGGCCCCATGCTCTTTGCTACCGATCCCAGATGGACCCCAGCTGGGTGTGCTTGCGTTTGAGCTGATTTTCCGAACGTCAATACGCATGAGCTGAGAAACTGAATGCGCAGGGGTCCAGGGGTCTACAAATGAAAAATGAATTATATCTTACATGTTGTTTATAAGTATAATACTGTAACATAATAGAATAAGTTTATGGTGATCGTGATTATTATTATTACTTCCATCTGTAATGTTTTCATGTAATCGATTTCCAGTGGGGGTACAATTGCTGGTTTGGCATTGGGCTCTTGGCTGAGTTCGTTGAAGGCAAAAAGTACGTCATTGGATTCCTTTCTGTAGATAATTAATTTGCTGCTCTTGACATGTCATGTAATTATTTGTTCCTTTTGCTCTGCAGGTCCATGCCTTTTCTGTCTGTGATGACCCTGATTACTTCTACGACTATGTTCAAGGCCTACGTGATGGACTTGAGGCAGGCGTTGATTCACGTGATATTGTGAACATTCAAAATGCGCGGGTCGAAGCAGATTAGACACTATATTGTCAGCATTGAACACATGATTTATGTTGCTTCGTACTACATGTTCTTTTAAGGTTGATCTTACAGAAGTTTGCCTACACTATACAAGTTGTACATGTGCATCCTCTACAGAAAAATGAAATCCTAGATCGGAAAATCATGGGTTGTAAATTGCAACTATTCATATGTTACCATTATGGGATGATGTGCGTATAGTTTTACACACAATGTATATGCTGACCAATTGTAAGTAATTATATATTGTAAACACCAAAAAAGGAAGTAAATGTATTGTGGTTTGACAGGCCAAAGGTCTGGGCTACGGAATAAACACGTCTGAGGAGCTTAAGTTTGTCACGGAGATTGCTGCGACCACTGGGATTGTTCTGGATCCAGTTTACAGGTTCTGTTTTATTTCCACAACTCTTTGTTTATGTTTCCATCTTTGTGCCATCACTTCTCTTGAGGAGGATAATTGGTTAAATTATTCATAGTTAATCCTGAAGTATGATCTGCAACTCTCTCTCTCTCTCTCTCTCTCCGTGGCTTTTCTCTTCTGCCGAATAATGGGATCACTGATTTATGATGTCATTCCTTATTCAGTGGCAAAGCTACTTATGGAATGCTGAAAGACATGGCTGAGAATACGAAGATGTGGGAAGGAAGAAAGATCCTCTTCATACACATAGGTGGGTTACTTGGGTTGTTTGACAAGGCAGAGCAGATGGCTCCATCGTTGGGAAATTGGCGTCGGATGGATGTCCAAGAATACGTTCCCCGGAGCGATGGTATCGGGAAAATGTTCTAGTGTCAAAATAAAGCAAAGCAAAGAGTCCAGTGCTCTATTAATAGAGATGAGATCAAAATCCTCAATCAGTGTGTACTGTACTGAATGATGCATAAGAAACGATCTCATATCAAATAAGATAATTACAGGAGGTTTGTATTTCGTTGTGCTTTAATGGTGTATGGTTTGTGAAAATGGATGTATAATTGTTCTGTTATAAGTCATGTCTCGTGTAAGAAAAATAAGTAGCCACGCGGCTATGCTCTTTAAATATACAAGAATTAAAATGCGCGGCTATACTTCACAAAATGGTTTTACTTATAGCCTTTTTTAATTACTTTAATTAGTAATTATGTTCTAATTATTATTTCTTTAGTAAATATTTAGTATTTAAATATTTGACTAATTTCATAAAATACTTAATAAATAGTAATTAATTATTTTAAATAACTTTGTGGACTTTGTTTTTTCTTTTTTAAAATTCTATCACAACCGTTCATAAATAGGTACTGTATGATCGTAAAATTGTGACGGTGAATTACATATTATTTTTTAATAAATTTTTGCAATTATATTTATTAAAATTAATTAAAATCTACTTTACAATGCTGTTAACTCTTTAAATATTAATATACTTTAAAAGTATAGCTGAGCGGCAATATTAATATTAAGCGTATAGCCGCTTGGCTGTACTCTTTAAATATATACGAATATTTAAAACATATAGCTGCGCGGCTATACTCTAATATTTTAAAGAGATATTTAGTCATATACTCATTTTTAGCACTAAAAAACTATAAATAACCCTACAATATTTAATTTCTATAAACAAACCCAAAAAGAAAACCCCAAATATGACAATTGGCCCTATTGAATTTAATTTTGATTATTAAATTACTTTGATACCCTATTGAGTGTTTTAGGCTTTTTTACGAGGTTTTAGGGTTGGGTTTGTTTTAAGAAATCAATGACAGTTTTGTAATTAAAAAAAAATAAAAAGCCTTTTTGTTATGTTGTAAATGAGTTTTGGGTGTGTTTCTAAAGTTCATTTCATATAGAGATTTTTTTTATAATTTGGTATAATAGTGAATCTCCCAAAATTAAAAGACCTATGCCTTTAATTTAAAATGAAGACCAAAAATGTAGGAACGGTCTCAAAAAGTACAATTGAACCAGCCCAAAAAAAAAATGATAACAAAAACCGAAAATCATATAACTTATTTGTCATATAGACAGCTAAAAGATTACCTTAGCCATTTGAGACAGATACATTATAATGACTGAACTTTTGGGTTTCTTCCAAGAATTTAAAGAAGTTAGACAACGTTCTTGAATCGTTGCTTGTGTCTCTCTTAACCAACCACTCCTCTCTAAGTCGAACATCGACATCCCTGCAGAACAGTGTGACCCATAAATAACAAGAACTAAGGATCACGATAGAGCAAGGTAATAAGATGACTGAATAACAGCATTATCCCTGGAAAAGTAACATCAAAATAAAATCAATAACATGAGAGCACATAAATTACCTCCTAAGGGAAAGAATCTCGTAGTTCCTCCTTAGGTAATCAGCATGTTTTGTAAGAGCATCTTGAGCATACTGTCTGCCCACAGTTCTGACTGCAGCTGTCTTTAGTAGATTTTCCAATGAACCATGCTTTTTTATGAGCTTTAGGGCAGTCTTCTGACCAAAACCGGGAGCCAGATGTTGGATCCCAGGAACACCATCAGCCTGATCACCAACAATGCACCCTAGACATTAAGTGAACAGAAATGCAAAACACGTTATGGCGGCGAACTCATATTAAATAAAGAGGGGCTCGCTTGGTTTATCATACCAAAATGCAGCCTAGTAAACCCACCGGTGAAACATATATCTGATACTCATTGTGTGTTCTTTAAGTGCATATGTGATTCATCTGCTCTTCAAAACATACATGTGCAATTACTGTACAAATTTTCATCCTTTCAGTAAAATTATCTGACAATCTCAGTGCTCACTCTATGACATCCCAGTGAAATTGATGACATATTCAGCCATAAAAACTAGAGAGTATACAGATCAAGATGTCTTATATAGCAGGCCCAGTCACACCATATAGCATTTATGAAGAAACTTTCAAGGCCAAGATGCATCAACATATACCAGCTCATGAAACGAAACTGAATACAATTTCCATTTGAATATATATGTTAATTAGAGACATGTAGCACTAACACAATTAACTGACTTATAAATACCACCACATTGTTTTTCATACTTACTAAGGCTCAAATCACAGCACGGATCACAATTATACTGAGCCATGTAGTGCTTAAGGGTGTAAAAGGACCAGCGTTCCAACTCTTCCAGGGGAATGACAAGTTGAACATCTTCTGAAAGCAATTGCTTAAAATCTTTATCAGGAGACGCAATTACCACCCGATATCCTGATTGTAGAACTTGCCCCACAAGTGTGGCTATAACATCGTCAGCTTCATGGCCTTCTATTTTTATGACCTGCATCAATTTATGTTCTATTAACGGAAAACCAACCATTTGAATATATCATCTACACCCCTTTTATTGGGAGAAAATCTAACATGTGAGCAAGTATCTGGAAGGGCATCCGAAACGATGTGTCAAAATGATAACCATTTTAAAATAGAGCACAAACTGTTTACTAAATTTTTTATCAAAAAGCTAGACCCAAAGTATGTCGTATTTATATAGGAAAGTATTCATTCCATATTCTGTCCTAAGATATCAGTACAAAAACAGAAGCAGCGACATGAAGCTGATAAATAGGAAAGAAACAGATCTCCCGTACTATCAAAGGCTCATTGTTATTTTCACATATTATAGCTGTTTTAAAGTTTCTACTCCTTCCCAGATCTCCTGGAAAAGAAAAATGAAAACCAAAACTACAGGGCTTCAACCTGAACAGTTTATCAAATAGTTTTCACAAACAAATAGATAACTTCAGAAAAAACATGATTTATCCATGCAAGGTGTAGTGTTAATCATCAATTGATATTTGTAACCTTTGCATATATACCTTTATAATTTCTAATATTTGATAAGTTTTTTAAGAGCCAACTTTGGTCCAAGGTTTTAGGTTTATATTCAATAGTTTCTTAGATTTGCTAATTGACAATGGTGTCATTATTTTTGCCCATAATTAGTACTTATCGAATTAATAAATAAAAAAGAAGTCAGTTTTGATGAATGCTTTCACCTCTGTAATTAGATAAGATTCATTACACACTTCACATTACCAAAATAGAGGTTAACTCACTGGCACATTGCATTTTCTAAGAACATTTGTGATGACTCCATGTGACCTTCCAACATGCCCCTTTGAAAACTGTCTCAAGAACTTCCACCTATGTGCTTTATATGAAGGTAATAACTGTCTGCGGTGCTCACTTCCTCTTTCCCCATCAACAACCTGCAAATGCACATTATAGAAATAAGAGAAGCAAATATATTACCATTACTGAGTTCAACCACCATGTACAGCATAAATTGTGATCTAATGACAGTTAAGATGATCAACTGCCTGGAATCTCAGCCATCAACAACTGAAAATCATGACTACCAAGGCAATTAAGATGCAAGAGACCTATGTTAATGAAGCAATGCCTAAGGCTATGCTGTTTATAATCAGGACTTAAATGTTTCAGTGATTAGGGCCAGGATTTGAATGAAATAAAAGATTATCTTTGTTGGGAGCCTTGGGTCCAATGCTTATCACTATTTCCTTCATGCAAATAGGTGAATTCGTGCATAGAAAAGAATATGCTTTTGTTGGTGTTTATCATTCTTAAGCTCTGTAGAGTAAAACAATGGCACGGCCACCTATTATCTTATAAACAATAGGGCAGTATGTTCTGCTTCTTCTGCATAAGTGGCTTATAACGCGAATATACTTGGACAACTATCTAAAATTTGACGACAAAATGCTTGTTGTGAATACTTCAATAGGACATTAAAAACTTTCCCTGTAAAGCATCACGAAAAGTGGCCCATGTACTACTGAAGCATCTGTAGAGTTTTAGCCAATTCAGATTTCCTACCACAAAAGTAATCTGGCAGAGTAATTGGTGCCATAAAAATACTGATGGAACCTTTGAGTTCCGCTTATTAGGACTGAGAGAGAGAGAGAGAGAGAGAGAGAGAGAGCATATTCAGCTTATGGGAGTCAAATATATAAAATTAAAACAAAATGCAGTCTATTGGAGTGAGGTATAGCTAGTACTCATTTCATAATCAAGGAAAAGGAAAAAACTCAGTGAAACATTTCAGTGAACACATGGTGGGGTGGGAAAGAGGATGGACTTACAGCAATAACAGGGTCAGAGAGGCTAACTTGATTGAAAAATAAGGAGACCCAATGAGCAAAAGATTGTAAGCTGGGTTTGCTTCCTTCATAACAAAGAGGATTAACGTCTAAAAAGAACACCCTTTTTTTGCTTGTCTTCTTTGGCAACAGGACTTGCCCATCATCAACCTTTTGTTTATACCCAAAACCAGAAGAAGTAGAAAAAGTTGAAGAAGAAGATGCCACAACTCCAGAAATCTTCCTTGCTACTTTTGTCACCACTATTTTGCGACAAATGGGAAGATATGGGCTTACAGAAAGAAAGGGCGTGATATGAACTCGGGTAGGAACTGCAACTTCTACCATTTGCAAAAATTTCGATGTTGCAACTTTACAAGCTGGATATTTATCCAGAAAAAAGCAATTTAAGGTTTTTTTTAGTACCTTAAGGGCTAGTTTGGTATATGGTATTAGACTTTGGATATGAGTAAATAGATTATATCAGGTGTTTGGTGTCAATTTGTATTATTTAATTACCTGACTATTTTAAACAGATTGGGCTTTAATACACACACTATACACATACGTTCACGTGAAAAATCCGACGACGCTATTTTCATCTTCTTCTCTATAGGGTTCTTCTCAACTATCTTCTCCAAGGTTATTCTCTTCATTGTTCTCTCTCTCTCTCTCTCTCTCTCTCTCTCTCTCTCTCTC